AAAAAAGGGCTGAAACCAACTGATTTCAGTTCTCATTATTAATTCGTTGTATTTGGGGAGTGCTATGAAAATGGTCCTGTTACCATTTGCGCCGAGTGTTTAAGGGATGATGCCTCCAAATTCGTTACTTTATCCAGACAGTTGCCAAAGCAGAAAATCATCACATTTGAGAACCTATAAACGTTTCTGCAATTTTCCTGCTTCATTAAGGACTTTAGATTGATTTACTAATTGTTTCAGAGCTAAACAATGATATTAATGATTTATACATTGTGTTTGTTTTTGCAAACTTTGATTTTGATACTTTCTTTTACAAGATTTTTATTTTTTCCACTGCAGACAGTCGATCTTTAGCATCAGCTTCAACTTAATATTCTCAGCCTTTAAAAAAAACAAAACAATTGATCTATCAATGGGTTTATTCTAATTGTGGTATTTTAATATCTTGCAGGTGCTTGTTGAACATGCTGGTCGTTGGAAAACTGACGAGGATCCACTGCCTTTGCTGGAGGTCTACACTGTGGCCATCCTCAGCTTTGCTAAGGCCGCCTCCTGTCTCTCCTCCGAATGTGAAAACGTGCCACTCCTACTTGAAAAGTTAGCACTGTGAGTAAAAACTGTGAAGTGGTTGTCACTGCAAAAAACGATTTCTCGACGTCCTTTTATATATTTCTTATTCTTTCAAACACCATCTTTATCATAAACTTGCCCTGTAATATGCGTTACACATTAACGACAGAAATATAATGCTCCAATTGTATGTTGGAGAAAGATCAATACGTCTTTCTTATACAGTTTTAGTGTAAAGTTGATGTGGCAAAGAATGGGTTACATGTTTCTGATGTGCACATAACAATAGACCAAACATTAGTTTGCTTTGCAGTCTGCTGGTGTAATTCAGTATTTGGCCGACAGTGATCTCTTTAGATATTACATCAAAGATCCACAATATTTGACAGAATGAAACAAAACACATCCAAATCCCAACGGAAATTTAGATATAAAAAGTCTGAAAATACTCTGTAATCAGTGTACATTCAGGCACTATTCAGCTATTTGCACAATGTGCTCTTGAAGTAGTTGTGGAGGCAAAGTCCTTGAGGCTGTAATACAGAGTAGAAATGTAGGCTACCTCTTGGGGAGCTTCGACATATTTGGGATGAGCTGCAGAGTACACTACACACACCGAGGAGCAGTGCATACACGAAATGAACCGAGGGGACAGTTATTAATGTGAAGGATCTAACTTAAATCATTATTGATCACAATTACTGATGTGGCCATTCTGAGCTCTTTTTCATTGCATACGAAAAACAACAGTGACTATTTAATAACACTTATATCTATATTGATCCGTGTCTCTAAATTGTCTGACTGCTAGGATTACACTGCTTTACACCTGTCATATTTCAACAGTTCATATTTGTCATCTTTATTATATTTCCAAAATGTCACACTGACTTCAGCAGCACACTCTGTGAATAATTATGTGTGTATGGTTACCCTTAATTTGTAGTTGTTAAAGTGTGTGCACATCCTTGACCTAAATGTGGCTTTAACAAATGGCTGTGTTGATTTCACAGGAGCTGTGCGGAGCTGCTGCTCTTACTGCCCCAGCATGTCCCTGGTGCCTTATGGGAGGAGTTTCAGTCCTCCATGAAGGTCAGTATCCCCAGGGCTGTTAGGAGTCTTTCTCTGAGGCTTGTTTTTACAGCGATAAGCATTGAAAAGTTGTTATTACAGTTCACTTGGTTTAGCTCATCATTAAAACGTAATAAAAACAAAACAGCTGAATGTTT